TAATATCTCTAAGGTCACTGAGAAATTTATCTTTCTTGAGATGCAGCACAAGAAAAATCATATTTTCTATTCCACTAGTAGAGAAAATTGAGAGTTAAATTATAAAGGAAAGAAAATGACTAAGAGTGGTCATTTCTGTGAGTCATGAGCTATTTAAAAAGGGAATTTTTATCCCCTTTTTAAATGAAGAGGCTGAAGTAAGGTGGCTCCTTCTGGATTATTTTTATAGCTAATAAATTGCAGAAAATGTGGCCACTTCAAATGTTGTGTTTCGAAGAACACTGCAAAATATATGTTAAATAATGGTGCCTCAGAAAACCAGTTAGTATTTTAAACACAGTAGTCTTAGATAAATATTATTGTGTTTGGTGGAAATGATTAGGTAGGTATAGATATAGTTGCAGACATAGATATATCCTTAAAGGTTTCAAGCCACAAGTGGTGAAGTATTTGTATCAGGGACAGGAGAGTTGACAGTCACCTCTAGGAAACATTGACATTGTATATTGAATTTGTTAGGACTCTTCCTGCTATAGGGAACAGAAAGCCAACTGAAATGGCTGCAAGCAAAGAAAAGAGAATTCATGACTCACATAACTGTATTAGTCCACTTGGATTGCATAACAGAATATCATAGTCTGGGTACTTAAACAATAGAAATTTATTTTCTCACAGTTCTAGAGACTGGAAGACCAGGATCAAAGTGCTAGCAGAGTTAGGGTCTGGTGAGAGCTCTCTTCCTGGCTTGCAGACAGCAGCCCTTTGGCTCTATTCTCTCATGGTAGAGACAGAGAGCTCTGGCATCTCTTCCTGTCTTATAAGGGCACTAGAATTATTAGATTAGGGTCCCACCTTTATGATCTCATTTCACCTCATTTACCTCCCTATGGGCCCTCTCTCCAATTACAGTTGTATTGGGGGTTAGGGCTTCAAAATATAAATTGGTGTGTGTGCTGGGGAATAGGGGGGAAGGTAGGAACATTCAGTCCACACCACTGACTGTTGGAACTTGACTTCTGAGAGGCCACTATCTTGGTTGTGTGGGTACGTCCATGGCCACTCCTTTTTGATCTCCTTTGCTAGATCATCCTGAATTTCCCAATATCTACATATTGGAAGATCCCAGAGTTTAGACCTTGAGTCTGTTCTCATTCATCAAATGATTTCATGCCCTCCCGTAGCTTTCAATACCATGTCATCTGCCCTTAGCTCTCTAGAATTATATCCAAACTGCCCATATGACATATCTATTCAGATGTTTCATGGATATTGTAAAGTTGACACGCTGTCTGGTATCACTTTAATTCATGAAAACTAAACTCAAATAAGCCCTTAGGCCATCATATTATCTTCTATGATAACTCCTGCTTTTTACTCTTCTGGATGACTATTTCACATCTTCCCTCTTCAAAGCTTCACCACTTCTTCTATCCTGTCTCTTAGCCAATACTCCTAATTCCTATTTTACTGAGAAATTAGAAATCACAGAGAACTTTCACAATCTTGCACCACCATTACAATCTACCTAGTAATACCTCTGCCATTTACTCTGCCTTCTCTTCTGGTTCTGTGGATGAAGCCTCCATGCTGCTTTCCAAAGCCAATCATTTTATACTAGTGTTCCATCACTGCTGTAACAGATTCACACAAACTTTATTAGTTCATAGATCTGTAGGTGGCTTGGCTAGGTACTCGGCTTAGAGTCTCAAAAGGCTGAAAACAAGGTGTCAGCAGGGCTGTGTTTCTTTCTTGAGGTTATAGGGAAGAATTCATTTCAGATTGTTCATTCAGGTTGTTGGCAGAATCCAATGCCTTGCAGCTGTAGAGCTAAGGTGATTGCTCCCTTGCTGCTATCAGCTGGGGACAGCCCTTAGCTCTCTCTGGTCCTTGCACATGGGTCCTACAACTGAGAACCAGTAGCAGTGTGCTGAACATTTCTGATACTTGGAACTTCTCTAACTTCTGCTGCTGCATCTCCCTTCTGCTTCCAGACAGAGAAAGTTCTCTGCTTTTAAGGGCTCAAATGATTAGATTGAGCACACCAGATAATTTAAGACAATCTCCTTCTTTGAAGATCCATCGCCTCCATTATATCTGCAAAGTCCCTTTTGTCATGTAATATAATATATTCACAGTTGCCAGAGATTGGGCACCTTGGGGGGCAATTGTCTACCACAGACTCCATGTGTTCCAACTATTCCCCTTTCTCTCTTCTGCATCACTAATTATTCTTCTCAACTGGATCTTTCCTATCATTGCATACAAAATACTGATATTTCTCCCATGTTAAAAAGACCTCCTTGACTCCACTCTCCCTTCCAGTTACTACCCCATTTCTCTGCTCTCTGTGGGGAAAAACACCTTGAAAGAATTGCCTATACTGTCTGCCCCCACTTTTCTCTTTACATTCTCTCTTGACCTTTCACCCTTTCTACTGTACTGAACCTGATTTTGTCAAGGGCACAGATGATTACACATTCTAAATTCAAGGGTCAATTTTCAATCTTCATCTAACTTTCATTTTACAAAGCTGATCATTGAAAATTTCATTTGTCTTCCAAGGTATCACCCTTTTGGGGTTTTTTCCTTACCTCTTGGAGGTTCCTTCCTGGTCTCCTCCACTGATTCTTTCTCATATTCCTGACTACTTAATCTTGGACTGCCTGGGGCTTTTCCACCTGTACTCATTGCCATGATAATTTCATCCAGTCTCATGGCTTTAAATAACTTGAATATACAATGACTTCCTAATTTATATCTATATCCCAGAACTGTCCCCTGAACTCCAAGCCTATATATTTAACCATATACTCCACATCTCTTACTCAATGTATCCTATGTAATCTTTTACTTTATTGTTATGATCTGTCTCCTCTCAGAAAAATCTAAGTTTCATGAGGGTAAGGGCCTTTGTGTTTGTTTGTGTTCACTGCTTCCTCTCCAGCACTTAAAACAGTGCCTTCACAGAGTACATAATCAATAAATATTTGTTGCTGTTGAATGAAGGCACAGGACTACTTTTTATTTCAGCTCAGAACGAGGTTCTTCTTCCACTTACCCCCATCAGTAAGTGGCAACTCTATTCTAGTTTGCTCAAGAGAGGATCCTAGGAATTATTCTTGATCCCTCTCTTTCACTCACACCCCACATCTTGAAATCCTGCTAATTCTACGTGGTACACACACACGCGCACATGTGTGCATGCACGCGCACCCACGTACACCCTTCCAGAACCTGGCCCCCTTCACCTTTCTCACCTTCACCCAAGTTCAAATCATCATTGCAATGGCCTCATTATTGGTCTCCCTACTTCTACCCTTGCTCCTCTAGAATCTGTTTTCCACACAGAAGAGAGAGGAAATCCCTTTAGAATTTATGTTGATCATGGGCATTCCTTAGTTCAAAACACTCTGATAGGTTTTCCATCTTAGAATAAAGTCTAAATACTTTAAGTGGCCTGTAAGATACTACCTGATCTTGCCCCAGACATATCTCCCTAAACCTATTTGTTCATTCTCTTCCAGCCACTCTGTTTCCCTTGTTCTTTGAACATGGCCAAACATTCACTTGTCTTAGGACTTTACACAGCTTTCTTTGCCTGGAATGCAGAGACACAGATGACCTGCTTCTTCATTTCATTCAGGCCTCTGCTCCAAGTTGCTTAGTGTTTCGGTTATCATTATACCTAAGATGGCAAACGCATATGCACACACACACTATTTTTTACCCTTACTTTCCTTTCTTTCAAAGCCTTATTACCAACAGATATTATATATGTACTTATTTTTATTGCCTGTCTTCACCCTTCCCCCAGATGTAGAGTACATGAAGGCAGATACTGTTTTGTTCATTGCTCTATCTTTAACATCAAAGATGAACCCTAACAACTACAGGCTTGTTTAACCCTACCACAGAGGCTCATAGAGAGATAGAGAAACCTCCTTTCTCAAAGAATCAGTATTAATATTTGAAAAAGGACTCTGGCCTTTCTTGAGTGATGTGCCTACCCCTAAAACATTTTCTGTGTCTAGAGCAATGGAGAAATCTAATTGGCCAGTCTGGATCACATGCCCCTCATAGTTCTGTTGTGGGGTAGGATTTCAAGGGGTAGGGTACGGAAGGGGGCCGGGGAAGGCTATGCAATCCATAGATAAAGAAAGGAAAGTTTCCAAAAGAAAAAAAAAGGTTCTATTAGCAGAATGGGGCAGGGGGAGAAGGGAGAGAATATGGGGGAGGCAGAAATAACAGATGGCCACCACTGAGATTTTCCAGAATAGGAAGAGAAATACAGAGATAAGCTGGGGTCCCTGGTAGAGGAAGTATCTTTAAATAACTGTACCTTCACACACTTTGGGTGAGGACTTGCTGAAACCCCAGGCACGGCTGTATAGCATCAGCATGCCCTGCCTCTTGAATGACTCCTTGTAGGGAGTTGCAGGAAGGATCTCCCTAGCATGAATAATCCTGAAGCTTCACCACAGAAACTGGAGGAAAGATAGAAAATCAGGGATTAGCAGCATAAACAGGATTTCTGTTTTTCACTGCACATAATATTGCTCACCAGCTCATTTGCAGAATTCTGCATCCATGACTGTAAAGATTAACTAACAGCTCATTTTTAGGTAAGGTTGACGAAGAGTTAGTTTTGAAATAAGCAACAGCTGTGAAGTGGGCATATGTACATAGAGTCACATTTGGAAAAAAATGTAAATCTTGCCGCTATTATTAGCTCAAGGCTTTTGTCTAGTTTTTGTTTTTGATATACCAAACCACAAGGCATTTTAAATTTTTAAAATTTATTCCTGAATGTAGAAAATGTTTCTTGGGTTCTCCTGAGAGTGGGGTGCCCAGGCTAACCACAGGCACACACACATTCTTCCCATAGTACAGTACTTTAAAATTAATAGCACATGCAGAGGAAAAACTAAGCCCTTTGACGTCACTCCTGAAATGAGGAAACATAAACAGAAAAGGCTCCACTCCAGTAAGCTGCCAGAGTTGAAGCCGATTGGTCTCTGCTTTTCCTTGCCTGTGGCAACTGACAGCACCTCCCAGCCTAGCAGGCCGGCGGCCTGCGTGCTCCCCCAGCCAGTCGGGGGGTCTGGGCACTGCAGCAGGCTCGGCTCTGTCCCAGCGCTTGCCTGGGAGAAAAGTCGTGTACTCACCCAGAGAGAATCTCTCTTTCTACCTTCTTTCTCTCTTGATTTCTCTGTGTGCTTTTGTGATTCTTTTTCTTTTCTTTTTTTTTTTTCTTGTTTTTACTTAATTATATTCCTAATCCTGGATGAAGTTGCTGGATTCTGCAGCACAAGTCTTCATGAACAAGCAGCACCGCTCAGAGATTTCACGGCATTCAAAGGTCACAGAACTGCCACTATGGTTAAATGTCTTGTTTAATGGTTGAGGTAGGTACAACAAATTTAAGCGGCAAGCTCATTTTTCTTGAGAGAACAGAATCACAGAGAGATGGCAGGAGTTTTATTTAAAATGAACCTGTACATATATATATATATATATATATATATATATTTTTTTTTTTTTTTTTTTTTTTTTTTTTTTT